GCGTGCACAGTCGGGTTTAGGGTTTACCTTAAGAACCCAAAACCCACCTTTCTGTAGGCTCTTATTATAAACCCTAATATGGGATTTATAGGGACCCTACAAAAAAGTAGGTTTTGGGTTTAGGGTTTAGGGTTTGGGCTAACTCAAAACCCCAAAAAGTTGGAAGCCGGATTAGTTAAGGACAACTAGTGCCGGGACTCCCTATACATGGGAGTTTCCGAAAATTAGGGGTACCTTATTTTGGGGGTCCTTATAATAGGGATCCTACTATTTAGGGTACTATATTGGGGTCCCCTATTTTCTGAAACCCCCACATTGCTCTCAAGCATTGAGGCTATTGGGCGCCCAACCTTTTGGGCTTCTACTACAGTACCACTGTTGATGATATACATCCTGCGTTGCCTTAAGGGGAATTCCTTGGAGGGTCGGGGAACTTAGTAAGTGGGTAATAAGTAGACTTACAAGTACCTTAATAGGGTTCCTAGCTGGGGTTATGATACTTGTAAATCTAGAAAATAACCATTTACTAAGCCCCCCCGACCCTCCAAGTATGGAATATTCCTTATCATGGGTAATGCAGGATTTTGTTCATCATCCTTAGTCCCTTGCAGTTTCTAACGCAGTTATACGAGGCCCCTCAACTACGACCCTACAGCCCCGGTGGCCTAGCAAAAGTTTCGGGTTAAGGGTTTAGGGTTCTGTTACACTGCTGGGGGGGATGCATTCGTTTTGGAGCTTTTGCTTCCAGTTTGGAGTTTCTTTGGCATTTTCGCAAAGGGATCATGTTGAACTTGGCGTGAACGGCCGAAAGATGGGTTCAATTTATATAGGCCCTGCAAGTCGTAAACCCCGAGCATCGCAAGGCTCAGGCTCATTGATTATACATAGCACTCTGCTGCTTTCCGGCCCACGGGCGTCAGATCGTTTCGGTAGTTGCAAGGAGTCTCTCTGAGTTGGTTTAGGGTTTAGGGTTTAGGGTTTAGGGTTGAGGGTTTAGGGTTTAGGGTTTCAGGGTTTAGGGTTTAGGGTTTAGGGTTTAGGGTTTCAGGGTCAGACTCCTGGGCATGGACAGCAGCGAGGCCGATGAAATGAACGGTTACTGCGGGCAGCATTTTGCCTGACAGCTCTGCGCGACCCGCGCTTAACGCAGCAAAAGAGGCCGGCGTCGTGCGGATGCTTGAACTGGAGCCTCGATACCCAGAAAGCCCAATGCCCCCAAGTAGAGGGAAATCCCGCATAGTGGGAAGCCCTATCATACTAGCTAAGATGGTGCATGTCCCCAAAGACACAAGACGCCCAGCTTGACTTGAGGAACATTCCTCATGGGGCTCTCCGGTACTGCGTACTTGTTGAACTCTACGCCACCGATGTGTTCGTTTTGGGCCTGTTTAGGCCATTAGGCTTTCGGGCTTTAGGACCTACAAGCGGGGGGTTCGCGGGGTTTGGCTGGTTTTGGTGTGGGGTTCTTCGACTGAAACCTCCAGCCGTGCAAGGCATCTCTCAAGGCATGGGCAGTTTAGGCATCGCTTCGTGTGGTTCAGGTCAGCCATCTCAGCTACTCTAGTTCGAAGTCGCAAACCACAGCCTCATCTTCAACCCCTCCAGCCCCAGATTCGAAACTCCAGATCCCAAGCCCTCCAACTCCGTCTGAGAAGTCCTCCTGGATTGATTAGGGTTTGCTGTCTCCTCCCCTGCGCACTCTTTCGCCTCACCGGCGCACGCTGTTGGAGCCATGAAGAAGGGACTGCGAGCAGCAGCCCCGGGGACTCTCCAGGGCTTCTTCCCTTTTCGTGGAGCTGTTTTAAGACCGACTTCTGGCTTCGGTGTTTAGGGTAGCCCTAAATTCTGTGGTTTCCTGCACAAGCCTTATTGAGCAGAAGTTTTCGCGTATAGTCCCAGCAATACTACAATGTGGCATTACCTGCCCAGCAGCCGCATCCGGAATTTCATGGGCGCTACACTTTCTACTCTTACTGCAACCAGCAGTATGGCGTTCAAACAAATGTTGTTTCAGGTAGGTTTTCTCTACGAAATTCCCACCTACCGCCATCATCAAAATCATCTAAACCCTAAACCCTAAACCCGAAAGCCTAAAGCCTGACCCGTCCTGACTTTGTAGCTAACGTTGTTCTTGTCCCATCCTGGCCCTAAAACCGTAAACCCTAAAACCCTGAACCCCTTAAAGGACCCCTTAAAGGACCCTAAACCTTAAACCCCTAAACCCCTAAACCCTTCAAGGACCCCTTAAAGCACCCTAGACCCTAAACCCTAAACCCTTAAAGGACCCCTTAAAGGACCCTAAACCCTAAACCCCTAAACCCTTAAAGGACCGCTTAAAGGACCCTAAAACCCCAAAAAAACTCCGCCTCAGCCCATGGATCTCCTGAAGTCCGCGCTCGCGGAGCGGCAGGCGAAGGCCGGGCTTCGACTCCCTTAAACTCTAAACCCTAAACCCTAAAATCCTAAACCCTAAACCCTAAACCGTAAGAAGAAGAAAAGAGGGGCCAGCGGAGTCGAGAATCCTCGCTTCGATCTCCATGGTGGAGACCGCAATGATTGTGAATTGTAGTCGGCAGCCGTGTGTATAGTCCACATCATCTCGTACGGTGGCCCAACAAAGACACCTGAAGATACACTATCGAAGCCTACCCCAGCTGCAGGGATATTACCTCAAAGTGCTATGTGTGGGTCCCTTTTGGGGCTCCTCCTAAATAGGTCCTACATGTTCTGAACGATAGTCGTAATTATGGTTCTCGTCCAGAGGATGCAGCTCCCCCCAGGGTAAGATATGGGTAGTTCTCTAAATTAGGGTCTTCTTCAGGTCCCCAATATAGTACGGCACCCTTATAAAAAAGGAAAGTAAAAGGGACCCTAATTTTGAAAACTACCCATGTGAAAGCTGGGTCGTCGAAAAGCCGAAGACCATTTCAGCAGCAAGACATGGAAACCCCAGCGCGAAACCGCCATAGTGTCCACAGGCCCAAAAGACTATCGCCGAGACTGGTCAGAAGCCACGGCCCTGATACGCATCCGTCGCTCGGGGTTTAGAGGGCTTAAGAATTAGGGCAATTTTTAGGGTTTAGAGCAACAAGACAAAAAAACAACAACAACAACAAACGATAACCTTGATTGTTTGTTCGAGGTGGGCAAGGGGGGTAGCGCAGGAGCCCTACAGCCTTGGGGTCTTTTTTCGTGTCAAGCGTACCCCGGGTTATTCTAAGCTACATCTCATCGATGGGCTATGTACGCACAGACTGAGCAGACCCTAAGCTGTCCGGAATCCGGAAACCCCCACACTCTGCCTAAAGTCACCACTGCACATACGAAGGGAGGGGACAACCCAACAGTTGTCAGTCTGCTTGAGTTGCTGTAAGTATTCGTGGTTCTTGAGCTCAGTATGACATCGTCCCCAAAGAAGGTCATCACTGCAGGTACATGAGTGCACAATGTTGTCATGCAGGTAGATGCATGTCTTTACTGCAGATGTATATACGTCTAATGTATGTGTGTATGTATATGTATTTGTCAACATCTGATATGTATCGTTCTGTATCTCCATGTGTGTGTGTGTGTGTGTATGTGTATTGGTACGTATACGTTGCATGTGTCATGTATTATACATGTGAATGCATCTGTTTATTATGCCCGTGCATGCGGCCGTGGCAATGATGACTTCGAACCATCACTGCAAACTATTTCTGCCTTCGTACGTTGGCAGGACCAGGAACCAGCACAACAGAGCGTACCAGTTAATACCAGTACAAATGCCACCACAACCATAAACCCTAAACCCCTAAACCCTAAACCCCCAAAACCCTAAACCCTAAAGCCCAAAGCCTAAACCCCTAAACCCTAAACCCCTAAACTCTAAACCTCTAAAGCCTAAAGCCTAAAGCCTAAACCCCCAAACCCCCAAACCCGTTTTGCAGCTTCTGGCGTGAGGATTGTTGGTCAAGGCTCAGCCTCTCGGGCCTGAGATCTACCGTAAAGGAACCCTTACATGAAACCTTTATGAGATGAGATCCTTGAAAAAAAACTTTCAAGGAACTTTTGTAGACGGCTTTCAGTAACCCTTATGAGAACTTTTTGAGGGGCCCTTTAAAGCAATTTTTGTGGGTTCCTCTACGAGGTTCCATCAAGTGTTTGCTCGCGGGTTCCCTTATGGGTACCCTAAACCCTAAACCCTAAACCCCTAAACCCCTAAACCCCTAAACCCCTAAACCCTAAAACGTAAACCCAAGATTTCCCTTATGGGTGGACCTCTTCCGAGGTGGGTGAAACGAAGTGAGCTTGAAGCCAAGCGCATGGAGGAGCCCGGAGTGGGGTTCATTGGGTCCCGAACTTGCGTTTTGGGATTCGGGATTGGGTTTAGGGTTGGAGTTCATGTTTCGAAGATTAGAGGTTACATATCTTAGCAGTATAGTACGTAACCATGAACTTGTTTGCGTGTATTATGATCCCTGTGTATTCTCAAAGGTTAGCCCTGAGGTTCCTTCGGATGCTGGGCAAGGAAGGGATTGTGGTCTAGGGGTGGGGGTTTTTGGGATTCGAGGATATGGCGCAATCCTAAATCCTAAACCCTAAACCCTAACCTTAAACCCTAAACCCTAGACCGAACCCAAAATCCTTAAGCCCTTATCATCCCTAAACCGAGGGTCAGGCGAAGGGTCCGAAACTTGCGGTCTAGCCTTCAGGATTCATTCGGGACGCCCTAAACTTTTGAAATTTTCAGACTATCACTCGTAAGCCCTACAGAAGCCCGTAAGCTTCTAAAGGCAGTACAGGTAGCAAAGGCAGTACAGGTAGCAATCTCCGACCCTAAATCCTTAATCGCAAACCCGAAATCCTATAAGCCCTATAACCCGTACAAACCCTATAAACCTTAAATTTGAGAAACTCTGCAGACGGAGAAAGGGTGCTTAAAAAATATATAAGTTTTTCGAAACCCAAAACCTTAAACCAGAACGGAGCCCGCTTCTTCTAGTCTGGGCCCTCTGCAGGAGTACTTCGCCGACCAGCGCCGCGAGGAAGAGAAGCTGAAAGACGGGACTCCCGGTCGTAAGTTTGAGGGATGTTTCGGGTTTAGGATTTAGGGTTTAGGGTTTAGGGAGGTAGCATTAGGGAGACCCCTTTAAAGGGGACCCTTCTTAACCCTACGTATGGCTCTTAAAGGGGGACCTTATCGAGAGCATATCCCCAACGATCCCCCCTACCATAATTCCCATAGTTTAGTGTCCTTAAGGCAATGCAGGGGTGATATCATATCATCAACAGCAAGGTTAGGTTGGGGTTTAGGGGTTTAGGGGTTTAAGGGTTTAGGGGTTTAGGGGAATTAGGAGTTTGGGGATGGTTGGGGGGTTCAGGAGTTTAGGGTCTGAGAGTTTAGTTTTTTTTTGTTGGGGGGGTTAGCGGCTGAAGGCTTATAGGGTTGAGGGTTTAGGAGTTGAGGGTTTAGGGAGTTTACTTGACTTGACTACGGCTTGAGACAAGTTTCAAATTTCGGGTTTCGACTAACCTCAAACCTAGACCTGTTGATTGTGGCTACGGCGAAGGGTACACAGGTCGAAGGTTAGAGCTCTAATATAGGGGCCTGTTTAATAAATAGGATCGGGTTTTGGGGTATACTATACTATCATGGGAAACTCAAACTAGTATTGGTAACCATTAATATCAAGATCCCTATACTGTATAGTTGATTTTGCAGTTGTTGTAAAGGTATGGTGGAGACCCTGAATCGTAGGTGTGGGTTTTCAGCTCAGGGTTTAGGGTTCAGGGTCAAGAAACCCGGGTTTAGGGTTTGGGACGTTAAACCCTAAACCCTAAACCCTATTTACAAAGGTTAGAAACGCTGAAGGCTCTTCAGGGATGTACCCTAAACCCTAAACCCTGAACCGAAAGTCTTGCAAACAGGCCGCTTTTCCAGTGACCCTTGTGATGGGAACCCTAAGCTACACCACAGGCCGGCCAGAACTCAACTGCAAGTGAACCCTAAACCTTAAACCCTAAACCCTAAACCCTGAACCCTAAACCTTAAACCCTAAACCCTAAACCCTAAACCCTAAACCCTAAACCCTAAACCCTTAAACCCTAAATTAACGCAGGTTCCTTAATTCAGGGATGTTGGAAGATCTGGGAAGCCTGAGCACCGTCGCAAAGCCATGCAACTGCTGGGCACTGAGCCCGAAACTCCTTATAGTAACGGTTTAGGGTTTAGGGACCTTAACCCACCCAAACCTTTTTTTGTAGGTGCTTATTATAAAGCCTAATATGGAGTTTATAGGGACCCTACTAAAATAGGTTCTGGTAGGTTAAGGTATAACTACAGACTATAGTAGGTATCATAGTAGCCTTAACCCGAAACCCTTAAACCCGAAAGCCTAGAACCCTGGAGAGCCACGTTGAGTTTTACAGGGAGTACACGGGCCTCGGCCGAAGCCAACGCCACGAGAGAATGATGATGCTGGCCAGCTGGTCCCAGGATAAAACCGGGAAGGCTTTGGCACGGTTTAGGGTTTAGGGTTTAGGGTTTAGGGTTTAGGGTTTAGGGAATGTATCCTCAGTGTGTGCCAAAGCGGCGCATGGGTGCCTGCAACAGATTGATGCACTACGTGACAACACCGAGACGTCGGCAGCATTGATCTGGAAACCTGCAGTGTACTGTTGTTCGGTCGAACCAAAAAGAAGCTTCTGGCCGTGGAGGTACGAATCCCAGAATAAGACAACGGAAGAGACCTTGGCCGGGTTTATAACCCGCACCCGGTCTGCATGCATTTATCACGCGTGTTTATAGGAGGCATGCAAGCGTAAGCTTGGGCCGTTATCATCCCCCATATCCTGCACCCGAAACCCCGAACCCTGAACCCAAGACCCCTAAACCCCAATCCTACCCGCGAAACCCAAAAAAAAACCCACCACAACTGCATCAAAACCCCCTGACTTTAACGGCCCTTTTCTTTCCCAGGCCGACGAGGAGGCGAAGATGAAGCGGCTGGAAGAGTGCCTTGGCCTTGCGGTTGCCTGGCACCCTCTGATCCCAGAGCTGCGGCGAAAGGGTTTGGGGCTTTTGGGGGTTTAGGATGTAAGGTTTAGGGTTTAAGTTTTACGGTTTAGGGTTTAAGTTTTACGGTTTAGGGTTTAAGAGTTTAAAGTTTACCTAGGCCCTCAAGAACCTACCTTGTCAGGGTTCCTTAGTATGGCTTCCTTATACATAGGTCCTTGAAAAAGGTTATTTAGGGTCCAGGTACCCTCAGCCGAAAATTTTCGGTCCCAAACCAGCCGAAGCCTTCAAGTTCGAGGGTTTAGGGTTTAGGGTTTAGGGTTTAGGGTTTAGGGTTTAGGGTTTAGGGTTTAGGGTTTAGGGTGAGGTTGATTATTTTGTTTTAGGGTATGGGGTTCAGGGTTGATCATTTAGGGTTTATAGGGTTTTGGGCTGATAAATCCAAAAAGCGCGGACCCTGATTTAGGGTTTAGGGTGGGTTTAGGGGTTTATGGGTTTAAGGGTCTGTGGATTATGAGGGGCTTCGGTTTTATGGATTTCGGTTCTTAGGGTTCAGGGGTTTATGGGTTTAGGGATATACGGGTTCCGGGACGGGTCTGGGGCATAATGATAACCCCGAAAAAAGCCCTAAACCCCAAACCCTAAACCTTAAACTGGAAGTTTAAGCCCTTGAGCCCCGCAGCTCAGGCACTTCACGAAGTCAGGTCAGAAAGACCAGGAGTCCAAGAAGGAGCGATGTGGTTTAGGGTTTAGCGTTTAGGGTTTAGGGTTTTAGGGTTTGGGGTTTAGGGTTTAGGGGATGCACGGTGTCTTAGAGGGTTCTGGACGGGTGTTGCAGGCCCTGGTGGTGCGAGCTTTCAGGTCAGGGAGGGTTCAAGGTTCGGGTATACAGTTTAAGGGTTTAGGGTTCAGGGTTCAGGGTTTAGGGTTTAGGGTTTAGAGTTTACCCTGAACCTTTAACCCTAAGCCCGAACGATTTTTTAGCTCGGGGTTTAGGGTTTAGGGTTTAGGGTTTAGGGTTTAGGGTTTAGGGTTTAGGGGGGGGTTAGGATTTTAGGTCAGTCGTGGAGCAAGAATAGTAAGCCTTAGTCCCGACAAGGCCACAACCCCAACCTCCTAAACCCTAAACCCTAAACCCTAAACCCTAAACCCTAAACCCTAAACCCTAAACCTAAACCCTAAACCCTAAACCCCCTGATATAGGGCCTGAATTTATCTAACTATGATGGCCCCGACATTAAACCCTAAACCCTAAGCCCTAAGCCCCTGGCCTTAAACATCATCCAGGAGTGGCTCTCGCTCGGATTGTCTGCTGATTGCTTGCCCAAATGCCTTAAATTAAAGCCCAAAGCCCCCAAACCCTACCCTGAACTACCGAAACCTACCAATTTGTAGGGTCCGTATACCACAGTCTATCAAAGGGTTCACAATAAAATCCTACCACAAAGTTGGTTCTGGTAGCTTAAGGTATGGCTTCCATTGTTGCGGGTTTGCTTCGCGCGCGAGCAGTGTTGGCAGTGTAGGGGCCTGGGTAAAACCAACAGGAAAGGCAGCGTACGGGAGAGTAATTACTTAAAGGTTCATGGGACTTAGTAACTAGGGTTGAGGTAACTATACTTATAACTACTTATAACCCCACTTAAGGTACGCATAACTGTATTTATTAAATCCCATGAACCTCCAAGTAGAGGGTTCAAGGGTTTCGGATTGAGGCGAAGCGCCCAGTGCAGAAGCCAAGACTGCCCTACAACCCAAAAGCATCGGCCGACCGCCCAGTCGTTGACTAGGTACCAGACCTTCAGACTAGATCCAGGAGCGCATCAATATTTCAGGAATATGCTTTACATCTCGTAGTGGTCTTAATCAGTATAGTTCAATTAAGAAACCCTAAACCCTAAACCCTAAACCCTAAACCGAAGACACCAGAGTCCTTAACTAGTTAAGTGTTGATGAGCCTTTTGGGAGGTCCTCAAATCTAATAGCGCAAACCTGTAGAATCCTTTACGAAGCCCTGTAAAGGGCCCAAAGGGTTTAGGGTTTAGGGGGTTCAGGGTCCAACATTTGGGGCAATTGATCCCACCTTCAAAACCCCAAAACGCGAAAAAGACACAGACCCCAAACCAAAAGCCGAACCCTCACAGACAGAGACCCTAAGAACTCAAAGAACTCGTAGAGGAATTCCAGTCCCCCCCCCTCTGTAAAGACAGAAGACGAAGTCCTAATCCCAAAACCTGAACACTCCACAACCCCGACACCCTATAAACCCTAAACCCTTCAAGGAACCCTACAAACCCTCTTGAAAGACAGACAACGGCCAGGAGATACCTGAACCCTAATCCCTAAACCCTTGAACCCGTTTAAGACAGAGACCCATAAACCCTGAACCCTTTGAAGACATAAGACGAAAAGGATAAACCCCAAACCCCAAAAATCGCAAATCCGAAATTTTTGAACCCTATGAGCCCTGAAATGAGCCTCAAAATCCCCGCCTTTGACGACAGAGACGTCGAGGAGATTCCTGCCCACTTGCTCGATGAGGCGCTCCTGCAAGATGACGATGCTGAGCCTCCTGGATGCAGGGGTTGAGGGGTGCCTTTAAGGGGGTTCCGGGTTTAGGGTTTAGGGTTTAGGGTTTAGGGTTGGGGTCCCTCTATATGTCAGGGTTCCTTTAGGGGTGTGGGACTGTTGGGATTTCGGAGTTCTAGAGGTTTTGCAGTTTCAGTTTTGTTTTAGACATTGGATACGTTTGAGATTATGGCGCAAGTAAGTAGGATCGACAGTGTATGAGATGTCGCTCTCCACTGCATGTTTAGACATTTAGAGGTTTAGGGGTTGAGGGTACTTAGATTCAGATGTCTTTTAGGTTCCTTTCAAGGTGCTACTTGCGCGTCCTATCGGGGTCTCAAAGGTTCGCGGATGAAAGCAGAGCCCTTCAGGGTTCTTCTACTTTAAGGGCCTTAGGGTTCGAATAGGGCAGGAGTTTAGGGGGTTTAGGGTTTAGGGTTTGGCTTAGGAGGTTAGAGGGGTAAGGCTTGGAGGTTTAGGCGTTAGGAGTTTGGGGGTTCAGGGCTTATGGGATGAATTAGGGGATCAAGGTGTTTTAGGTTCCGGCGCCAGGAGCTCCGCAGCGACAGCACTGCAAGCACGAGTGTTACTTGCGACTTCCAGTACTGGCACCATCATTCCTGAAACCCCTAAACCCCTAAACCCCTAAGCCCTAAACCCCTAAGCCCTGAATAGACCCTAAACCCGAAACCCTAAACCCCTAAGCCCTGAATAGACCCTAAACCCGAGACCCTAAACCCTAAACCCTAAACCCGAAACCCTAAACCCTAAACCCTAAACCCCAATCCCTCTTCGACCTAGAGGCTGAGGAGGCAATCTTTAAAGCGTGTATATGGGTAGTTCTCTGAATTAGGGGTTTAGGGTTTAGGGTTTAGGGTTTAGGGTTTAGGGTATATGGGTAGTTCTCTGAATTAGGGTCCGTTTTTGGGTCCCCAATATAGTACGGCACCCATATAAGAAGGATCCTAGACTAGTTTAGAGAATTACCCATCTTCCTATTACAATCTAAAAGGTTAACTTTTTTTGGGGCTAGGGTACCCAGCCCCTAAGTCGCACCTACTAGTCTAATCATGCAAACCCCTTTCGCATTCGACATTTTGCAGGGCACCCAAGGAATCTGATGGTAAAGGCTTGAAGGTTTGAAAGGGGTTCATGGTTTGGGGTTCAGGGCTCAATGGTGGTATAGAATTTAGGGGAGTTCGGGGTTCAGGGTTTGGGGCTGCCGGGCTAAAGCAGTTGTGTAAGTATAGCGGCTCTACACGGGCAAGGGGCTTACATAGCTCCCCTAGTAAGGGGTTTTTGTCTCGGGGCTTCTAGGGTTTTTCCTAGACCCTTAAACGCAGTGCCCTTTTTTGGGTTACCTCCAGTTCTTAGTAAAGGGTCCTAACCACAAACTAAGTCATCCAATAAAAGGCATTACTTTCAAGGGTCTAGGCAGGGTTCTATTGAGCCTTGTTCCTGCAATCCCGAACATGAAACCCACGGCTCGGAAGTCATCCCTCAACCCGAAACCCTGAACCCTAAACCCCGAAACGCCCCCCTCCCCCCCCGCCGCCCCAACGGCGACCGGTACCAGAAATCGCGACCTCAACCAAATTCAGGCCACCCATGCCGTTGGAGGACATCGTTTCGCGCTTCCGGCAGATGGGTCAGCCCGGGTCCAAGACAATAAACCCAAAACCCCGAACCCCTATAAACCTAAGCCTAAATTGACTCAGGACTTGAGGCTTCATGTTTAAGCCTCTGGGGGGTATACGGATTAAAGCTTTGGGGATCTAGGGTATGACGGTTCAAGGTGGTTGATTCAGATGATCAAAAATTCAGGGTTTCTTGCCATCGCAAGTAGGACGGCCATGCGAAGTCCGAACCCTAAATCGACGCACAAGCACAAATTGCTGCACCCCCATGTAGAGAAAGAGCAAGTACTCGCATATATTACAAGCGCTAGAGCTCTTGGACCCTAAACCCTAAGGCCCTAAACCCTAAAGCCCTAAACCCTCATCCCTAAACCCTAAACCCTAAAACCTAAGGCCGCAAGCACTCATGTTCTAAGGGTCTTGGTCACAAAGAACAACTCGCTAGCTTTCTGAGAGCTTTTTGTGGCGTCCGCCTGTTCCCGCTTGTATGGAAGGTTTAGGCATTAGGGTTTAGGGTTTAGGGCTGTATGGAAGCCGTAAGAGCCAATCTGAACCGAAGACCAGCAAAACGAACAACATCAGCAAAGCTGCTCGCATGTCCAACTTGAAAAATTGCACTTGGATGCCCTTCAGGGTTTATGGTTCGGGGTTTAGCCAGCACGAGGAAGGCAGGGCCTAAGAAGCCGAGTACCAGCGCATTCATCTGGATGGTGCGGGCAAGCATCTGCTATCGATACTACACGCTAAACCGGAAACCCTTAACCCTAAACGAACGAAACCCTAAACTCTAGACCCTGCTATGTGTGCCTCAGGAGCCGTCTAGAGGCACCAAAAACACTCCAACAAGCCTTTAAACTCCAAAGCAGCTGTGAGCTTCTTTGCTTGGTCCGTGTGCCGAAGAGAGCGGTTTAGGGTTTAGGGTCTATAGGTATCGCTGTGAGCTTGTTTGCTTCTTGTGTGCCCAAGAGAGCGGTTTAGGGTTTAGGGAATGCCAGCTTGCGCTACTGGTGTTGTTCGCATGTAGAGTCAGAAACGAAGAGCCTGAGCAGGAGCATCGGTACTTGGAGGTTCATGGGACTTAACGTGTACACTTATACGTACCTTAACTGAAGTTATACGTACCTGAATTGGGGTTATTTGGGGTATTTGGAGTTAAAAGTATAGTTTCCTTATTTAAGAACCCTAGTTACTATGTCCCATGAACCTTTAAGTAGGGTCCTTCGCAACCTCAAAGGTCCAGGTTTGGGGTTTAGTATGGATCCCCATGAGATTCCTGTGGGGATTGAAAGGGGGGTTTAGGGTTTGGGGGTTTAGGGATTTAGGGGTTTAGGGTTTAGGGTTTAGGGGTGACTGCCTCGTTGACATCAACCCCAAAGCTTCAGGGTTTTGGGGTTCAGGACTTTGGTGTACCCTAACCTACCAAACCCCATATTTTTGGTAGGTTCTTATTATGAACCCTAATATGGGATTTAGAGGGGCCCAAGAAAAAAATAGGTTCTGGTGGGCTAAGATAGGGTTTGTGGTTTCCGTCGAAGGTTTTAGGCTGGCTCCAGGATGTATTTTGAGGACTCGCGCATGTCAGATTCAAGATACTGCTCCCCAGCGCTCACAGCAGAGTTGACGGATTTTTTGGGGGGTATCAGAAGATTAAATCAAGTCTCAGAGGTGCCCGAAACGCCCTAAACCCTTAACCCCTAGACCCCTAGACCCCTAAACCCCTCAACCCCAAACCCTAAACCCTAACCCTAAACCTACACTTCGATAGCTTTTCCTGGCAAGGCCCATTATCCTCTTCGGCGAGACAGACATGCAGAGGCCTGCGGCCCTCGGAGTAGGGTTGGGTTTAGGGTTTAGGTTTTAGGGTTTAGGGTTTAGGGTTCAGCGTGCAGGGTTTAGGGTTTAGGGTTTCTGCAACACGTCTTGGGTCATACAGTCAAGTCTGGGGGTCTGGATACTTACCAGCACCATTCTTTTATGGGTTCCATCATATACTGATACGGCAATTACCCCAAACCCTATTCCAATTATCGTGGCGTCACGGGCTGAGGTTTTAGAGTTTAGGGTGCGGCGTTTAGTCACAGAGCAGGGTTTTTATCCCAAACACTAAACTGAAATGGCCCCAAACAGCTTCCCCTAAAGCCCGACACGCTGAAGCATGGGCCCTAGCCGCCCTAGCCCTAAACCTTAAGTCGAGCCCGTCAAACCATCCTGAACCTCCCTCAAGCCTCCATGCATTCGAGCGAAGTCCTAAACCCTGAGGGTTTAGAGTCTGGAAGAGTTTAGGGTTATAGGGGTTCGGGGTTTAGGGTTAACCGTCTGCAGAGCAGCTGTAGGGGTGCAGGGGTTTAGGGTTGTAGGGGCTAGGGTTAGGGGTCTAAGGTTTCAGGGTTTATAAGGGTTTAGGACTATGGGAGTCAAGGGTTCAGGGTCTACAGGGTCTGCGGGGTATAGGGTTTGTAGGGGTTTACGGTTATAGGGCTTTACCAGTAGACGTGTCCTTCTACTTTGTTCCATCCGTAGGGTTCCTCGCTACTTTTTTACAGTACGGAAAAAGAGTATCCGCGGAAGATCTCTTGCATGGAGGCCAAAAACCCTGTAAAATATGGGCGCACAGAAAAGTATACGTTACGCTTAAAAACTATCTGAGTACGGGTAAATGTCGATATCCGGGTACGGCTTTTTTACGATATAATGTCGATACAATCCGGGTTGGGTACGGGTACGGGTCGTACTGGGGTGCGGTTTTCAACATTTTTTTCGTAATCTGGTCCCAGTACGCTTTTAAACGGCCGGAAAAAAGTATGCGTTTGGCTATTGAATGAATTTCAATCACACACCCAAAAAAAACATCCGAAACAAAAGGTAGCGGCGCAAACAAAAAAAGTACACGTTTGGCGCAAGACACAAAAAAGTATACGGACACAGTTGCTGGTAAGGCTTAGGGAGCAGAGGGTTTGAGGTTTAGGGTCTAGAACTTAGGGAGCAGATTCCGACCTGGGACGCAACATGTTTGGATCACCCTGTCGAAGTCTTTGAATGTCTGGCGTTTAGGGTTTATGGTTTAGGGTTTAGGGTTGAAGTCGCTGCCACGATTCTCTTTGTCTTCTGCTCCCACGGGAGTGCAGCGGGGAAGACATGCTTCGACTGGTCGGATTAGCCCTGGCTGGCTGTCCTGCCATGAACACTGTAGTCTTTGACAACGCCAGCAATCACGACCTCGTGAAGTGAATGCTTCTTGGTCAGTCGACAGGCCTTTCTGCTGCATCACTGCGGTCGATGCCTTTCTGGGGACGAGCTCTCCCACGAAAAGCTTCCGGAGATCTGCCTACCGCGATTCCCATTTCGCAAACCGGTCCTGGACGGAGAACTGATTCTGGGGCTCAACTCAATAACTTTTGCTGGCCCATGCAGGTCGCCAGCACGAACAACCGCCTTCGGACGCTCCTTCGCTGAGTTTGCGGATACACTTGATCCCTGCATGCCTTCTCTGGGCCCTTCCATGGCAAGGCTTGTCCCAAACATCTTGCAGCCTCAATCATGTTCCATTTGAAGAGGTTTAGGGTTTTGAGTTTAGGGTTTATATGGCTACGCTGTACACAGGTTCAGGGTTCAGGGAGTTTAGGGTCTGTCGGGTCTAGGGTTAAGGCTAAGGAGTTTGAGGTTTGGGGCTAAGCTTTGAGCCCTGACCCTTATCCGGTGCTTCAGGGCATTGTTGAAGCGGAGTCCACCGCATGAAAAAACCCCAAACGCCGACAAAGCATGTTCTTGTAGGTCGTACGGTCTTGTAGTTTTACTATAAGGTTCAGTGTTTGGGGAAGGCTCCTACAAAATAAGTCAGGCTGGAAGCCTGCAGCCTCTTGGTACAGGGCCTCAAACCGCAGAATGAGCACACACTTCACGGTTAAGGTGGCAAAGCTGATCGCAGAGAGCCCAATATACCCCTTAATCAAGGAATATACTTAGTGGCTGAGTAGGTAACCTTTAACCTTTTGGGGCTCTTATAATCCTACTATAATTCAAAAGGTTAACCTTTTCTGGGCTAGGGTACTCAGCCCCTAAGTATACCTGACAGGTACAAGCGCATGCGGCAGCTGGAGAGAGAGGCCCGCCTTGCTATTGCGGTCCAAGCACCCGGCAGCACCAGAGTCTACCCCTAAACCCTAAACCCTTAACAACCCTAAACCCTAAACCCTAAACCCCTAAACCCTAAACCCTAACCCCTAAACTCTAAACCAAACAACCCTAAACCCTAACCCCGAGACTCCAAAGCCTAAGCCCTAAACAACCCTAATTAAGCCCGAAACCCTAACGCCTAAACTGCTCAACCCCTAAGCCCGAAGAAAACCCCTAAGCCCGAAGAATGAGCACCCCTGAGGTTCCCAAAAACCGGGAGCTTCGCGCTAGAGTTTGGGTTGCCGGAATCCTCAAGCCCTTTAGAATTCAATCCTAAACCCCAAACCTTGAGCCCCAAAGCCTAACTCCTATGCCCATGCCATCCCTAAGCCCTAAACCCTAGGGTTTAGGGTTTAGGGTTGACCGTCCATGACTGCGGAGGATCACGAGGGCAAGAAAAACCCGGACCTCGTGATGCTGGAAGCGGTACATGCAAACTCCAGAACCATGATTGAGGCGGGCACCGAGGATGTAATGTAGGGGCCGTAATACTTAGAAAAGGGTTTGGGGGGTCCTTCTTATCGTTATAGTATGTTATACTCCCAAACCCCATTCTAATTACTGAGGCTCCTATATTAGGGTTTGGGCCATTGATGGAGTAGGGTTGAGGGGTTGAAGGGTCTGATGGTAGCGGTTGAGACGGTCCCTTGTTAGGCATGTGGCTTGCAGAGCCAATTTCTCGTGTCCAAACAGCAGCACTACCATAATCCTCAACCCTAAACCGTGAAACCCTAAACTCTAAACCCTGAGCCCTGAACCCCTAAACAATAAACCCCTAACCGTGAAACCCTAAAGCCTAAACCCTGAACCCTAAACCCTGAACCTGATACCAAGCCCCCGAAAACCCAGGAGCAGCTGTACTTCTGAGTAAGTCAAATAATTAGCTCATTGATCAATCAACCACTTACTCAGTTGCCTGGTCACATAGTAAGTCGAAACAAGCAGATTCTACATGTCCTTGACAGTGGATGGAATCTTGATGTTTAGGCTTTGTTTTTTTTTTTGAGGGGGGGGGGTTGGGAATTGAGCCCTAAACCCTAAACCCTAAACCGTGGTTGAGGGCTGTTGAGGTGACTTGTTTACGGGTTGGAGAGACAGGCTTGGGGTTGCGACCTCGGATAAGCCGTGACGGTTTAGTATGTAATGGTTTAGCTGGCAGTCCTTATTCCTGCTTTCTAGTACCCCGTCCGGCATTCATGTTTATTGCTTCCAGAGCAAGCCCTAGCACCCTAGACCTTTTCGGCGATACATCCCTGCTCGCACCACTAGAAACTCATGGATCTGACCTAGCCCTTATGTTTACTTGTCGCCGGAAAGACCTACCTTTTTCGGGCACTGTACATAGAAACCTTAATAAGGAACCCTAAAAAGGTAGGTCTTTTCGGCCACACGTAGGGTTTAGGGTTTCAGGTTTGAGGCTTAGGGTCTGGTTAGGGTTTAGGAACCTCCTTGTAGGACATTTTCAGGTGGGTAGTTACCGTTATAGGAGGCTTATAGAAGATACCTTATAGAAGCCTTACAGAAGCCCTATATACCCTAAACTTCCCACCTGTAGTTTCCTTTTTTAACTCCTTGTAAGAAAGCCCCGACACCTCTATGGAGAGCCCTTGCGTTTGTTTGAAATGCGAGAGTCCCTTAAAGCGGCGGAATGTGTGTGGCTGACCTTGGGCCACGACTTACGGGTTTAGTATAGGGGCCTAGATAATTACCAATACTATTTTGGGGATTCCTTGTTTTGTTTATAGTATAGTGTACCCCAAAACCCTATTCTAATTATTAAGGCCCCTATATTAGGCGTTCAGTCTTTACCTAGCACCTCTCGGCTAGACGGGACTGTCGACGGCATTGGCATCATCCTTCCACAATTGCAGGGCTGTTGGGCTTGATGCGTGGTTGCTCACCTAAACCCTCAGGTGTTGCAGAGGTTCATCAGGTTCCGCATGATCCGAGTTTCGCAAGCACCTGAGCGCAGGACCAGACGAAAGACAAAGACGATGAAGATGAGGACGAAGAGGAGGGCGAGAAGAAGAAGGACACCACTCGCCCCTGGTCCTAGCCCCAATCTCTAACAGCCTTATATAAAGCCAAGAAGCCCTAAAGACCTAACCAGAACAATGACATGTGCTAGCGAGACCTACTGACGAAGTCCCCCGATCCGTCAAGCAAGCCAGCCGGAAACATGAGATTAGAACGATCCCAAGACCTTATTCTGCAAACCCTTAAACCTAAGCCCCTAAACTCCTAATGCCCAAAAACCACACCCTAAACCCTAAGCCTCTAAACCTCTAAACCCCTATAAGGTTTAGGGCTTGGGTTTGCAAGGCTTTGGGTTACGGCTCTAGGGTTTAGGTTTTAGGGTTTGGGGTTCAGGTGACAACCTGGCACACGCCTAAACCCGAGCCTAAACCTTAAGCCCTACACAGAAGGGCAGCAGAAGGTTTTTGCTGTCAAGACCGTCGAGAAAGTTATGAGAATGCGCCGTGTGGGGAATTGAAACCCCAAACCCCTAAGTCCCTAAAGCCTCCTAAACCGCTTAACCCTAAACCCCAACCGTCCAGGCATTTGGATTTTTTGTTTGGAGGGGTTTCGTGCTTTCAAGTGCCAGGAGGGGGAGGAAGAAGATGAGAAGAGTGAGGCCTCCGAAAGCGAGGAGGCTGCCCAGATGGTTTGACGGTTTAGCAGCTTAGGCCCTAAACCCTAAACCCTAAACCCTAAACCCTAAAAGGAGTTTAGGGGTTTTTGGGGGTTGAGGGGCTTGAGGGCTGCGGGGTTCCCTGAACCCTAAACCTTAAACCCAAACGGCTCATGGGGTTTAGGGCTTAGGATGCCCGGCAGTTTCTTAAGGATCTACGGCCCACTGCTTTAAGCTTCAAGGCTTTAGGGCTTTGGTGTTCGGGCGTTGGGTTTAGGGTTTAGGGTTTAGGATTTTCGGGCTTTCGGTGTCTCTTGGGATCCCACCCATCTGCAAGAAGAATGGGACTTGGGCATCGTGGTAGAGGAGTCGTTTTTGGATCAAAACAACCCACACTCGCAGGATGCCGCACTGTGATTTCCTTGTGTATACAGTTCTGCACCCTAAACCCTAAACCCTAAACCCTAAACCCTAAACCCTAAGCCGAAACCCTAGATTCTTTGAGGTTCAGGCAAACCTATGACAGGGGGCTGCTACCGGTCGCACAGCCGACTCTGAAGCAGGCCTGGAACTACTGTTGATGTTAGAAATCCTCCATTACCAGCAGAGCCCTAAGCTATGGGAACGATGGTTTAAGGTTTAGGGTTTAGGGCTGATCACATTTGCTGTTTCAATCTGTACTGCAATTAAACTAGACATAGATGTGTATTCATATATATATATATATATATTATGTATATGTATATATATATATATATATATATTATATGTGTGAGTATATATATATATATACACCTAATACTAAACTCCGAACCCTCAACTCCTAAAGCCTAAGGTCGGGCTTATTTGTAATTGCAGCTCAGGACATCGAGCTGGAGAGCAAGCTTAAGGTCCAAAAAGCAAATGCGAGCACCACTGACGACAAGAAGACCTCGGACCATGCGGTGACGAAGACCCCTCAGAAAATGCCACAGCTGCAACCCTCTGCAAAAAAGTCACGGTGATTATCGAGGCTTGGCAGCCGGAGTTGGCAAAGCCTGATGAGGAAAGGTCAGCAAATCAAAGCAGCCGACATCTTCGCCGGGCATGCTCCAGCATGGTCTGTGGAGGGAAGACTGTTGGGTTCCAATCTCTGCATACCCCTACACCCTAAACCCCAAACCCTACCAAGGTAAAGAATCTTCCGGGAGGAGTTTCCGCAGAGAGCTCGAAGCCGCGGAAAGTGAAAAACTTGCTGCCTCAACCTTAAAGCCGAAGGCTAGAAGTGACAATAGGTAGACGTAACTATGAATCCTAAACCCCACGTTCCGAGTCTGGACCCTGCGCTGTGTTTAGGGTTTGGGGTTCAGGGTTTAGGGTTTAGGGTTTAGGGTTTAGGGTTTAGGGTTTGGGGTTTGGGGTTCAGGGTTTAGGGTTTAGGGTTTAGGGTTTGGGGTTCAGGGACCGGTCTATTTGGACCCAACCATCGTGAGGGCTTGGCTTTCAGCTTGTTTTCGGTCCCGCTGATGCAGGAGAAGGACAGCGAGAAAGACAGTGAGAAGGAGAGCGGACAGGCCGCGAGAAAAACACCTGGCTGGTTTATACTTTCCTTCGGTGTCGTTAGCGCAACTGTAGTGTAAGACACCGTAAATCCTCGTTCGAACTATTACGGCCCCCAGACGATATGGACATAACCAGTCCTGAGTTGGTGGTTCTGATACCAGCGATCCTGGGAACTTGTTCTTGGTACGATCCTGCAGACTACTGTACTCGGTCCTAAACCCAACAGTCTGTGTCTCTAAGCACTGTAGATTCTTTCTGTGCAAGGCCGTTGTTCCAAGTTTGTCTGTATACTAAGTTGTTACACTTAACCGCCCCGAAGAAACCATACATAACGACACCCTAGATCCTAAACTCTAAACCCCTTCCGTCCTGACCACCGCCTCTGCATGAACCCTAAACCCTAAACCCCTAAACCCCAAACCTAAACCCAAAAAACGCTGCACACTAAATCAGAGCAAGTTCGGCCCGAAGCTCACGTAGCACGTTTAGGGTGTACTTGAACCCTAGAGCACCTACCGGTTTCGGGGCTCCTTATTGTGATTTCCTTGCTTATAAAGGTAGCTGCTTTGGGGTCCATGTCGGGTTTAGGGCGTATTGTCTAGAGTCTGAGGCGTTGGGTTCAGGGCGTGGCGTCTGAGTGGAGAAGCGCGGCATGCGCGTGCTGCATTTCGTGGAGTGCAGGGAGGCGCGAGATTTGACAGACAGGAAGCCTACGGAGCAGAATGAAACGAATGATGCCAAAGTCGTCGTTGAGCCGGACGGACCTGGCCAAGGGAGCTGCCTCGACCTCGAGATCGGTTCCGACCAAGCCACGGTGAGGGTTTCGGGCATATACAGGCTTTCGGTCCTTCGGGCTTGTAGGGTTTAGGGCATAGGGTTTACGGTTCAGAATTTGACGACGGGACAGATGCAATCTTTGCAATTTGCTGCATATTTCCACAGTCCCGGAATCTGCAACGAGGCTGGTAGTTGGTTGAGCTACACAGAACCCGAAACCCGAAGCCCTAAACCTTTTAGTCTGTTCAGGGTTTATCCCCAAGTATACCTTGAACCACCTCCTTTGAGAGGATGATCTCACTGGCGACGAGAAGGACCCTGTGCTGTACGGCTCGTGCCGTTTTGGCTATTTTCTTTGGGTTATCGGTTTCTTTTCCAGGAATCTCCAAAACGTATCTGTTGCTTCCCTTACTTCAAATTTGACACATCAGCCCCATTTACTTCTACCTGCACACTCTTTTCGACTTACGTAAGTCCCTATGTTGAAACCTAAACTCTAAACTCACTTAAGCAGCTTTTACAAAAAAACATACCTCCACTGCATACCCCTATGCAACCCCGGAAGCCACGTCGCGTCTAGACTACCCAGATACTCCCAAACCCCTGAAGTAGGGAATATACCTTCAATCTTATTAGGGTTCCTACCATAAAGTTTAAGGTATACTCCTTAAATAAAGGGTATCGGTGTGTCCGGGTACATTCCCGGCAGAGTGACCCCTTGTGTCAGCAGATCGTGCAGTGGTCAAGCCGTGTATTATCAACATGCAGACACCTACAGATGCAAGTCAAGATCGCGAACGGCTTGGATAGCACCTCGTTCGTCACGACCTATCGCGGCATGGAATGCTGCCGGCGTCTCGTTACAAACGAGGTCTTTGTCTACGCTTTCTGGGACCGAGCTGCCCATCGGCAACCACAAGTCACAATGGCAAATCTGTGACTTGCAGGTTCTAAGTCTTGGGGAGCAACTGTAACATCGTTCATCAAACGCTGGAGTAGTCGCATGATTGCTGATCTCAGCTTTGTAAGAGCAGTCTATATTGACGAGCCCTGCCATGCTTGTGAACCCTAAACCCTAAACCCTAAGCTCGCATAGGTCCCTAAACCCTAAACCCTAAACCCTAAACCCTAAACCCTAAACCATTTCTTATCACATAGTCGCTCAGCCCCAGCTCCAGCAGTTTCGCTTTCTGGCCTGGGCCGTCGTAAACATGGGTAGTTTTCTAAATTAGGGTCTCTTTGTCGATCCCCTATATAGTACGGCACCCTTATCACAAGGACATTAAAAGGGACCCTAATTTAGAGAACTACCCACATGCATTTTCATGTACTTGCGTTTTTGTTTCTGTTGGCAGATAGGGCCATGATGTCACCTGCCGCACTCACAACCAATGCATGGCACGAGGCAACATTGCAAGAGTCTCCTTAAAGATATGATTTTGCAAGGTCAACGTGGGCTTATGCAGAAACATGACCCGTGTTGGGGTGTGGCGTTTGGGGCGATGCTTGTTGATTGTTGTGCGCTCGTGCTTCTGTGCTTGAGGGCCCTACGTCCTACAGTTTTCAACCTTGAAACCACTTTACTTAGCTACCTCAATCACCCTTCAAGCCAAAAACTAAGCTCCATAACCCTAGACCCGAAGCCCCAAACAAGCCAAAACCCTAATGATCAGTATCCCTAAAACTTATCAAAACGTGCAGACCCACCCTAACCCCTAAACCTTAAACCCTAAACCACCTAACTCTGAAGCCCCTGTCCGGAAACCCTTAAATCGCCGCTGAGAAGAGTTTGAGGACGGCGCAGCTAAGAAAGAAGGTGAGGGTGGAGAGGCAATGGGTTTAGGGTTTAGGGTGGAGAGGCACTGGGCGTGACTTTTGGGGGTATGGGGGTTTTCGTGTATAGGGCGTCAAAGGGTTAGGGTCTTTGGGGTTTGAGGGAATGGTTATGGCCTAGAAGGACATTCCGGGTTTGAGCGTTTGGGGGTTTTGGGCTTTAGCGTGTTAAGGTTTGGGGACGGAGGATTTGGGCTTTAGGATTTGAGAGCTCGGCTTGACGCTTTTCGGGTGAAAGGCTATCGGTACACCAGCTGGAACTTGAGGATATGCCTCAATTTTCAATTTAATGGATCAACCCTGCGAATGCCTTGCGCTCTTAAGTTGGGTTTGTGGCACCTCGCAGAACGGAGACGCAATAGAATCCAATAGAAAGAACAATGATGACAAGAATCAGTTCTTCTTCCCTTCCGTCCCATTCCGGCTCTAGGAACGGATCCGTTGAGGTTCGGAATTTCACAGCCATCCTACTAATGATAGCATGCAGCTATAGCAGAAGACAAGCCCTAATCCCTTCACAATAAAAAAGTCGAAACAAGCTAGGGTGGGTTTTACTCCAGCTGCTCCCTAAACCCTAAACCCTAAACCCTAAACCCTAAACCCCAAACCCCAAACCCTGCCCGAGAGAATGACAAGGAAAGCCGTTGGCGCCCTCTCAAGAGCCAATCCTCGACCCGAATCCCAGAGGACTTGGGCAGCTATAAGTACCCTACAACGGACGGACCCTGGGGTCATGACATTTATATCTCCATAAAGCGACTACTGACTAAGTCGTTCGGCCCTCGATGCTATAAGCATGGCCTACCAAGATGTACTTCTTTTGGCAGGGCCCCGCATAAAGGTTTGCAGTACGATGCTACAGAAAAGCCTGTCAGGGTAGCTTAATAAAGGTAACTTTTATCACGTTCGGCCCTTCCTGCTGTAGAGGCGCCGAAGGAGAAGCCAAAAGAAGAGGCTGTGGAAGTCCCGGAGGTGGGAAGAGCAGGGAGGGGGAATCAAACAGGAAAACCTCCAGACACGCGTTATCCAGACCCTCATATTCTGAGCTTGATGTGTCCGCTGCTTAGGATTTAAGGATCGGGGTGGTCATGCAAGATTCTGGTCTTGTTGCAACGATTATGCAGTCGCCGAGCGGCAGCGAGGGTAGGCCCAGAGTATACTAACTAAACCTAGTGCGGATCTCGGCACAGTTGATTTCAATGACGGAAGTCGTCCCGTTTTCTCTATTCCGCTGGTTTGCCGTGTCGGCTTAGACGTTGATATCTTGAATGTTGCACGAGAGGTCACAGGCAGCAAGGTTTTCAAGGTCAATCGTTAATAATGGTTGAGGGGGTTGCGCTTAAAATCCACGTAGGCACAACATGATGTCTGGCGTGGTGATACCTCGGACACCGACGGATATGATAGGCCTCCGGGGAACATGTTACTCTATACATACCCTAAACCCCAAACGCGTAAATTACACCCTAAACCCTAAACCCTAAACCCTACAGCCTAGCACAAAGCACCCAAGGCCAGATATCAACAAGAAAAAGCGTCAACCCTAAGTCCCAAGCGGAGACTTCAATTCTCTATAAAGTAGGGGTCTTATTACCCCCCAATGAAGGAACCTGATTAAGAAATCCTGGGCCTTTATTAGGGGTCATTATGTGAATCCTATTATTTTGGGGTTCTAGCACCAGGGTTTCTGAATCAGGTCCCTACAGTATACCCCTGCGGCCTTAAGACACAAAGCGACCTCCGCGGAAATTTCAACAGCCTAAAACCGAAAGCTCCACCGAAATCCCTGGATAAACCTAAAAGGTCGACCTCGGCACCATGGATCAGTGCGACATGATCCGCAGCTGGGTTTTCCCCTCAGTGTTTGAACCATACTGCTCATGAGACTATATCTCTGCTATAACTGACTATAACAGTATAACACGTTATAGTTGTGTCCATCAAGATTATGTCCACTCTGTGAGGGTTGTGTTGTGGCGCGATTTAGGGCTTTCATAAGGCCGTATGCAAAGTTTGTTGTGAAATGGGGCTATACGTGTTTTGCATTCCCTAAAGCCTAAACCCTAATTGCTAACTATTAGGAACCCTAAAAGGACATGAGCATAAGCATTTTGTAGGGTTTAGGGGGCCATTCTAGGTAAGGGGCCATTACAGGGTTTGTCTTGGGCTATACAGTTTTGCCATGCGATTTTGAGTTTGGGATGTTCTTGCCACCCTGCCCCAAAGCCTGTACCAGGGTTTACAGTTTCGGCCTTTGTGCTCCGGATTCCTTGGGACATCGGCTGCGAGGTTTTGAGATTCCTGTTGGGTCATGGGTTTGCGGCCCCCAACTCGAGTGAAACCTCATATAGAAGCCGGAAGAAGTACAATATTCCTTCGGACTCTTTTTTTTTGTTCAGTTTGGGGTTTAGTTTTTAGGGTTTAGGGTTTAGGATTAAGTGTTCTATTTCATACCCCAACGCCCTGGTGTAGTTCTTAGATATCAACCTGCTGCATCTTCTTCTGACCGGAGGTCCTGTTGCTCCAACTTAAGCCCTAAAACCTAAACCCTAAACTCTGACTGCAATTTTGATTTTGAGCTGCGCCAGCACTGGAAGGGGACTAGGTCTTAGGGTTTAAGGTTCCGCTGATGGATCAAACGGTGCACTATTCATATCAAGGTTCATGCCGCAGCTCTTTCAGCAATGCATGTTATTATCCACAAGCTGTGTGGCCCGATTTCACATTCAGAGATGCTAGCATACGCAGGGCGTAGTATGGCATATAATCCTTTTCCGGAGAGCTAATACCTGTGCACCCCTAGACTCAACCCTAAACCCTCAACCCTAAACCTTTTCCGGAGAGCTAATACCTCTGCACCCCTAGACTCAACCCTAAACCCTACACCCTAAACTCAACCCTGAACCACCCGAAGCCCTGAACCTTAAGCCCTATAACTCAGAGACTCCAAGTCCGTATTGAACCGATCAAACTAAGACCCAAAACCCCGAAAGCCTTAAATCCACAACAAAGCACCCGGAAGCCCTACACAGTACCCTAAACCCTAAGCCCTAAACCCTAGACCCTAAGCCCTAAGCCCTAAAGCCCTAAACCCTAAGCCCTAAGCCCTAAACCCTAAACCCTGACCCTAAGCCCTAAACCCTAAACCCCAAACCCTAAGCCCTAAGCCCTCCTTAAGCCGAACAAAGGTTCGAAAGTCGCTCAAAGCCTGGGAGAAGGACTGTGTCGACACGGTTTAGGGTTTAAGGTTTAGAGTTTTGGGGTTTAGGGTTTGAGGTTTAGGGTTCAGAGGTTTAGGGTTTAGGGTTTGGGGTTTAGGGTTTTGGGGGTTTGGGGTTTGGGGTTTAGTAAGGGTTCGCCATGGGGGTTCTATACTGTAGGGGTCTAAATAGCCACCAATCCTATTTTAGGGGTTCCTGGTTATAATTATAGTATCATGGGCCCCAAAACCCTAATCTAATTATTATTCAGAGCTCTGAAGGGGGTTCTTTCAGGGTTGCATGAGGGCTCCATGAGGGTTCTATGAGGGTTGGTTCTGCATGGGTACTAAGAGGGTTCCTAAACTGTTTTGGGAGGATGGTCCACATTCATGTTTTCTTCATTCGCAGCAAGCGGCGTGCGGCGTGTATGATTAAAGGTTTTAGGGTTTAGGGTTTGGGGGTTTGGGTTTAGGATCATACCTTACATTCTGCAAGGTTTACCTGTAGAGCCAATTAGTCATGCGGGGACTTTCTTCTTGCAGTCATGGCTGCTACATTCGCGTCTTAGTACTTGTGTTACATTTGATTGTTCACAGCACACGTTAGCACAGCGGCCACGTGTCCAGCCTTTCGATCAGTACGAGGCGGCGTTTCTCCACTGGTGGATGCCAGACGATCCGCATAGCGGTCATTTGGAACCTCTTTCGTATGTCTCGAACTCCCGCATCAGCTTGGGGCACGAGTACATGAGCTTTGACGGGTGGCAGTGCTCCGACCCTTGGCGGAAGGAGAAGGTCACCTGTGGCGGGCCGTGAAGGGCGGCAACGTGAGGCCATTGATCGTGAGAAAAGCACCGCCTGGCACGACCGTGATTTCCCTACGGGGGGCGGATGCAGCAAGGGCGCATCGTCGTGCAGGGCAGCATGCTCTCCGGGAGAGTGGTTTGGGCAACATGCTGTGCCCCGTACATGCAAGAGACCCTGTTGATCGCATGAGGTTGTATCGCAGCATGTGTGTCTGCAGTCGCATGGAAACCATCCCCAATCGCACATTCATCTGTCTTATAACGATGTGTGTCATTGCTACAGTTGTCAGTATCATCATTATCCGTGCTACTTTCGCGCTGTTGAGAACGCTGGATAGTCTCTTGCTAGGCAGCTAGTCTTACGCAGTGGAACAGGGATCCAACTACCCTCCTTGAACCGGGCATGAAACTGTTGTGGCGTTTGTGCTTGGGACCACCATGATAGCCACAGATGTCGTCTTCAATGTAGGAAACCCAAAACCTTTGCCCAAAACCCCTAAACCTTGGGGCCCACAATGGCCCTGGAGCAGTCTACTGCATGCAACCAGTGAGCTGAAGAAGAAGTTGATTTGCATTTTTTCGGTGTGACTGATATTACTACTGTTCGTGATAGTGTGGGTATTGCTATTATTACTGGTTTTGCTGAGATGAAGCCCCAGCAGG